ATTTTTGCCCTTTTCTCCAGTTTCTCTGAGATCCCATGGCCCTCCTCTCCCCTCACACAAAAGGGGATGGGCACCTGCAATTAGGCTTACTAAGTCCCTAGTTAAAAGCAACACAATTCTGGCAGATAGCACTCTTTGTGATTCTCTTTCTTGGGAGGGTGAATTGTTACAAACTTCTGTTTATTTTATCTTATTTTATAATCAAAGTTTTACCTGAATTAGAGATGCAGCTGCAGGTATTTGCCTGTTAAAATGTTTTTGACGTTGCTTCTGTTGTACTTTAAGTGCAAAGCCAGAACCAAGAATCCCCTGAAAATAAACACAGTCATTTGTTAGAGACTTCCTTAAAACTTTATGTAACAGCAACAATCTGAGGTGTGGAATTCCCAATAAGCTAGGTAGGATTTGCACATCAAGCACATAAGCAACATTTAGAAATTGATTTAATAACTGTTTTATATTTCCACTCACCGCTGGAAGGGCAAAGAAAGAGATGGCAAACACAGAGAAACAGGATGCTATAGTCTTGCCTATCCAAGTCTGTGGCACCTTGTCTCCATAGCCAATAGTTGTGACTGTCACCTATAGAAGAGGTGAAAAAGGGTTAGCAGAAAGGCTACCTGAAAGTGGAGGCACAAACATATCTTTTTATAGATGATTTAGAAAGAAATTGCCAAGCATTCTTTTTAGGTCTTCCTAACCCTTTCCTATCTCAAGCTCCCGAAAAACCAGTTCTGCTGGTCTGTGCACAGCTGAACACTGTTCCAGCTGGTTAGCGGTTCTGAAATCAAGGCCACTCAAAGCATGCCATGAAGGCAAGGGGACATACAGAATAAGCATTCAATTCACTGCTCAAAAGTATTTTCTCATAATATTCCCATACTATTTTACACTCATTTATTAATATTTATGAATATCTATGAATCAAGACAAGCTGGATGTGGTCAAAGAAGAGATGACAAGACTGAACATCGACACCTTAGGAATCAGTGAACTAAAATGGACAGGAATGGGTGAATTTAATTCAGATGACCATCAGGTATACTACTGCAGACAAGAATCCCTCAGAAGAAATGGAGTAGCCTTCATAGTCAATAAAAGAGTAGGAAACACAGTTGTTGTTGTTAGTCACGAAGTCGCGTCCGACCTATCGAACCACATGTACAACACTCCTCCAGGCCTGACTGTCCTTCACCATCCCCCGGAGTCCACTTAAGTTCACACCGACTGCTTCAGTGACTCCATCTTGCCACCTCATTCTCTGCTGTCCCCTTCTTCTTTTACCATCAATTGTTCCCAGCATTAGGGTCTTCTCCAGGGAGTCCTTCCTTCTCATTAGGTGGCCAAAGTATTTGAGTTTCATCTTCAGTATCTGGCCTTCTAAAGAGCAAACAGGGTTGATCTCCTCTGGGATTGACTGGTTTGATCTCTTTGCAGTTCAAGGGACTCGCAGGAGTCTCCTCCAGCATCACAATTCAAAGGTCTCAGTTCTCCGGCACTCAGCCTTCCTTATGGTCCAGCTTTCACAGCCATACATTGCAACTGGGAAAACTATAGCCTTGACTATACGCACTTTTGTTGGCAGGGTGGTGTCTCTGCTTTTTAGTATGCTGCCTAGGATTGCCATAGCTTTCCTTCCCAGGAGTAAGCATCTTTTAATTTCTTGGCGGCAGTGATCTTGGAGCCCAGGAAAACAGAATCTGTCATTACCGCCATTTCTTCCCCATCTATTTGCCAGGAAGTGAGAGGATCAGATGCTATGATCTTAGTTTTCTTAATGTTGAGTTTCAAGCCAACTTTTGCACTCTCCCCCCTCACCTGCATCAAGAGGCTCTTTAGTTCCTTTTCACTTTCTGCCATTAGAGTGGTATCATCTGCATATCTGAGGTTATTGATATTTCTCCCAGAAATCTTAATTCCAACTGGTGATTCATCTAGGCCCGCCTTTCGCATGATGTGCTCTGCATATAAGTTAAATACGCAGGGCGACAGTACACAGCCTTACCGAACTCCTTTCTCAATTTTGAACCAATCAGTCGTCCGTGTCCATTTCTGACTGTTGCTTCTTGACCCGCATATAGGTTTCTCAAGAGACAAATAAGATGGTCTGGTACTCCCATCTCTTTAAGAACTTGCCACAATTTGTTGTGATCCACACAATCAAAGGCTTTAGCATAGCCAATGAGCAGAAGTAGATGTTTTTCTGGAACTCCCTAGCTTTCTCCATGATCCAGCGTATGTTGGCAATTTGATCTCTAGTTCTTTTCCCTCTTTGAAATCCTGCCTGTGCTTCTGGTATTTCTCGGTCCACATACTGCTGGAGCCTAGCTTGTAGGATTTTGAGCATAACTTTGCTAGCAGAAGAAATGAAGTAGCCTTCATAGTCAATAAAAGAGTGGGAAAAGCAGTACTGGATACAATCTCCAAAATGACAGAATGATCTCAGTTTGAATCCAAGGCAAACCATTTAACATCACAGTAGTCCAAGTCTATGCCCCAACCACTGGTGCTGAAGAGGGTGAAGTTGACCGGTTCTATGAAGGCCTACAACACCTGCTAGAAATAACACCAAAAAATGATGTGCTTATCATCATGGGGGATTGGAATGCTAAACTAGGAAGTCAAAAGATAACAGGAATAACTGGCAAGTTTGGCCTTTAAATATAAAATGAAGCAAGGCACAGGCTGGTAGAATTTTGTCAAGAGAATACGATGGTCATAGTAAATACTCTTTTCCAATAACCCAAAAGACAACTCTACACATGGACATCACCAAATGGTCAACACAGAAATCAGATTGACTATGTGCTCTGCAGCCAAAGATGGAGCAGCTCTATACAGTCAGTAAACACAAGACCATGAGCTGACTGTGGCTCAGATCATGAGATTCTTCTTGTTGCAAAATTTAGACTTAAACTGAAGAAAGTAGGGACATGCAATAGGCCACTGAGGCATGACCTAAATCATATCCCTGATGAATATACAGTAGAGGTGACAAATAGATTTTAGGAATTAGATCTGATAGAGTGCCTGAAGAACTATGGATGGAGGTTCGCAACATTGTACAAGAGGTAGCAACTAAAACCATCCCAAAGAAAAGGAAATGCAAGAAAGCAAAATGTCTTTACAAATAGTGGAGGAAAGAAGAGAAGCGAAAGGCAAGGGAGAAAGAGAAAGATACATCCAATTGAACTGCAGAATCCCAAAGAATAGCTAGAAGAGATAAGAATGCCTTCTTCAATGAACAGTGCAAAGAAATAGAAGAAAACAATAGAATAGGGAGGACCAGAGATCTCTTCAAGAAAATTGGACATATGAAGGGAATGTTTCATGCAAAGATGGGCATGATAAAGGATCAAAATGGCAGGGACCTAACAGAGGCAGAAGAGATTAAGAAGAGATAGCAAGATTACACAGAAGAACTATACAAGAAAGAGATTAAGGTCCCTGATAACCACGATGGAGTGGCCACTGACCTCAAGCCAGACATCCTGGAATGTGAAGTCAAGTGGGCCTTAGGAAGTCTGAACAACAACAAAGCTAGTGGAGGTGACAGTATTCTAGGTGAGTTATTCAAAATCTTAAAAGACGATGCAGTAAAAGTGCTACACTCAGTATGCCAGCAAATTTGGAAAACTCAACAGTGGCCACAGGATTGGAAAAGGTCAGTTTACATTCCAATCCCAAAGAAGGGCAATGCCAAAGAATGTTCAAATTACCGCACCATTGCACTCATTTCACATGCTAGCAAAGTTATGCTCAAAATCCTACAAGCTAGGCTCCAGCAGTATGTGGACCAAGAACTACCAGAAGTACAGGT